CTCTCTCTCTCTCTCTCTCTCTTTCTCTCTCTTCTAGAACAGAGTAGAGGTTATTGTTGGAGGGTAACCTCCTGCAAAGGACGAACAACACCTAGTAAGAAAGAAACGAACAAACAAACAAACAAACAAACAAATAATTAAACAAACAAACGAACGAACAAACAAATAAACAAAGCTTATCTGGTTTCACTACTTACTTTGCCCAGGCTCTCATCGTCTACACTACAGTAGTAGCCAATGGGGGCAGCGATCTTGGTGACGATGGTATTGACGTGGTAGTTGGTTTCACAGTCCTGGTATTGGCAGAAAGCGTACACAAGAGCGGACACGGGCAGTTTGGCCTCCCCAGCAATTGCTTCCTCGTCAAAGAGAGGCTGAAAATACACCACCCAAAAAAATTATAGGTAAAAGTAAACTCAAAGCTAAAAACAACCGGGAAATGACAAATGCAGATTTTGGGACACCTGAATAGGCATAAAGGTCTTGAACATCTAGCTCTCACTTGCAAAATTGAAGGCAAACGAGGCAGGAGTAGGCCCAGAGCAAGCTACTAAGAGAATCTAAACAAATGGGTAATGGGGAAAGATCAGGGAAAGTGAGTTTTTTAAAGAGTATCCGAGCAAAGGAATGAATGGAGAACCGTGATCGCTGATGTCTGTCGCAGATCTGGCACTGGATGAAAAGTAAACTTGAACTCCAATCCCCTTTCGAAACTGATCTGGCCTTGCACAAAGACCAAGCTTCACCTAAGAGGTCACTGTAAGATTGTTTATTTTTTCCCGAAAGGGTGGCTGGGGTGCGCCACGGGTAGGTCCTACTTCTTTACTTTCGCTCTGTTGTTTCTGTCTGTCTGCCTGTCTGTCTGTCTTACTTTTTTCCCAGCATTAAATGACTATTACTGTGTCGATGTGATTCTCTGTACTGAAACAAACCTGCATGTGTTGAATATATTCAATTGGCTGTCAACGATGATGTGCGCAAAGATGTTTATGTGTGTTTATTTGAAAGGGGGGGAGGTGGTTGGAGGTAAATATTTTACCTTTTGCCGATCTTTATTTATCTGTTCAATCATAATATGATTGCTTAATTAAGCTAGGATAGTTTTTTTTTAAAATAATAATAATTTAAAGACTGCAACCGTTTCACGTAACCATCGACAGAATTCAGGCTATTTAGGAGTAGATTATTTAAGATATTTCTGTTCTAAACCTGCGATGTGACAAAATAATTTCAGTGTTCATTTGAAGGAAGTAGTGGAGGTTTTTAGTCTGTGTTTCTCTCTATTGTTGGTAATAACAAGGCGTTGCCGACTTAGGGTCGATTCACAAATTTTATTCTGTCTTATTCACGACATCTGTCTCTCCGTGAATCTATCAGCTGACTGTCTGTCTGTCTGTCTGTCTGTCTGTCTGTCTGTCTGTCTGTCTGTCTGTCTG